AGGAATGCCAGGTACAGATACTTCCACTCAACATTATATATATATTAGCTAGTATTACTATTTAGGGAATAGTGTAATATGCAGATCATTTTGATCTTTGGGAATTAGTGCTTCAATCATACAGTCATTCTCTTCTTGCTGAACTCATTAAGCTTGTAAAGAACACTGCAACCTAATTTTCACCAACGTGCATACGCATTATACTAAAAATGGTTTGCTTCTTGCATGCATATGAACTTGATGCATCTGTTAACAGCAAGAGGTTCTAGCCAAAGCACATAAACACACTTCAATTCTCTTAAATGTAGTTGCTTCTTGATTGTGTATAAACTTGAAATATTAATAATCAGCAAGAACTGTGGATTTGTTGTTTGTTACCTGTGTACAAGTTAACTTCCTTGCAAATTTTGCTTGCATTTTCTTAAGATTAGTTTGGGCCTCATATGAAAATTGCTAAAACTTGCAGATGATGAAAATGAAGTTGAGAGTGCTTTCAAAAGAGCCATGCCATGGCTTGCTGATGACTTTGCCCTGAAAGATGTGCAAAGTGCATTATTTCCAGGTCTGAGCCTAGTCCAATGGATGGCTATGCAACAGAATCCTCAGATGCTAACAGCTGCGTCCCAAACAGTGCAATCACCGTACTTGAACTCCAATGCATTGGCTATGCAGGATGTGATGGGTAGTAGCAACGAGGACCCAACAAAAAGATTGAACACACAGGCACAAAATATGGTTTTACCTAATTTACAGGTTGGCTCAAAAGTGGATCACCCTGTAATGTCTCAACATCAACAGCAGCCACACCAACTATCACAACAGCAGCAGGTCCAGCCATCGCAGCAAAGTTCTGTGGTTTTACAGCAACATCAAGCCCAGTTGCTGCAGCAGAACGCCATTCACTTGCAGCAGCAGCAAGAACATCTCCAGCGGCAGCAGTCACAACCGGCACAGCAGTTGAAGGCTGCTTCAAGTCTGCATTCAGTGGAACAGCACAAGCTGAAAGAACAGACTTCAGGTGGGCAGGTTGCCTCACAAGCACAAATGTTAAACCAGATTTTCCCACCATCTTCATCGCAGCTACAACAGTTAGGTTTACCCAAGTCACCTACTCATCGCCAAGGGTTGACAGGATTACCAATTGCAGGTTCTTTGCAGCAGCCCACACTAACTCAGACATCTCAAGTCCAGCAAGCAGCCGAATATCAGCAGGCCCTCCTACAGAGTCAGCAACAGCAACAGCAACTGCAACTGCAACAACTATCACAACCAGAAGTACAGCTGCAGCTGCTTCAAAAGATTCAACAACAAAACATGCTATCTCAGCTGAACCCACAACATCAGTCCCAGTTGATTCAACAATTGTCTCAGAAAAGCCAGGAAATTCTACAGCAACAAATTTTGCAACATCAATTTGGTGGGTCTGATTCTATTGGTCAACTCAAGCAATCACCATCGCAGCAAGCTCCTTTAAACCACATGACAGGATCTTTGACGCCCCAGCAACTTGTCAGATCACATTCGGCACTTGCTGAGAGTGGGGATCCATCCAGTTCAACTGCTCCATCCACCAGCCGTATTTCTCCAATAAATTCGCTGAGTAGGGCAAACCAAGGAAGCAGAAATTTAACTGACATGGTGGCAACACCACAAATTGACAACTTACTTCAGGAAATTCAAAGCAAGCCAGATAATCGAATTAAGAATGACATACAGAGCAAAGAAACAGTCCCTATACATAACCGACATCCAGTTTCTGATCAACTTGATGCATCATCTGCTACCTCCTTTTGTTTAGACGAGAGCCCACGAGAAGGTTTTTCCTTCCCTCCAGTTTGTTTGGATAACAATGTTCAAGTTGATCCAAGAGATAACTTTCTTATTGCGGAAAATGTGGACGCATTGATGCCAGATGCCCTGTTGTCAAGAGGTATGGCTTCAGGAAAGGGCATGTGCACTCTGACTTCTGGACAAAGGGATCACAGGGATGTCGAGAATGAGCTATCATCTGCTGCATTCAGTTCCCAGTCATTTGGTGTGCCTGACATGTCCTTTAAGCCTGGATGTTCAAGTGACGTTGCTGTTACTGATGCCGGAATGCCAAGCCAAGGTTTGTGGAATAATCAAACACAACGGATGAGAACTTTCACTAAGGTTGGTACAGTTCTTTTGAGGACACATTTATTCTGGACCTACATTTGTCTGCGATCTTTCAAAATTGTGAAAATGCACATATCAAAAGCTACCTTATTGGGTGCATACATGTCTAGCTTGAGAAAGTTTTGCTTGATTCAAGATCAGAGGGCTAAGTTAGAAAACCTGAATTGTTCTTGTTAGTAATCAATTAATCACTAAGTTAGATATCGCCTGCATCTTTTTTTTGTGAACTATCAATGTCGTTGAATAGGACCAATGAATTTTCGGATACATGTGTCATTCTATCGTTTGTGATTTAAAAAATTGACAACCAATTTGAACATGACAAGTGGGCCCTGACCCACAGATGAGCGTGGCATTGACTAGCATTTCTCAGACACAAACTATAGGGTAACATGTAGCTAGATGACCCACCAATGATTCCTGACATCAGTTGGCACATACTAATAATGTAACTCCAGAAATGTTAAACGTTGTTTGTGATATTTTTGCTGCCTTTCATGTCTATGTTGGTCATGTTTTTTGGGGGAACATATGTTGGTCAGGTTTAGCGAGAACTAAACATCCTGCATTCCTGCTCATGTTCTGGAGCATCATCATTTATTCCAAATTTCTATGCCAAACAATGGCTTAACGATCCAACTATTATCCTTTATTCTCAAACTGTCCTCTTATGTGGCAAACTATCTTCATGAAGGTTCAAAAGCGTGGTTCTGTGGGGAGATCAATTGATATCACAAGATATCGAGATTATGATGAACTTAGGCATGATCTTGCATGCATGTTTGGTATCCAAGGTCAACTTGAAGATCCATATAGGATGGATTGGAAGCTAGTCTATGTTGATCATGAGAATGATATCCTTCTTGTCGGCGACGACCCTTGGGAGTAAGTGCTTCCCTTCCCTCCTCTTGGATCCAATACAATTCTATAGCTAGCCCCTCCTGATGATTTAGAAAACTTGATATGCAGGGAATTTGTGGGCTGTGTGAAGAGCATCAAAATACTCTCAGCTGCTGAAGTACAACAGATGAGCTTGGATGGTGACCTTGGTGGCGTCCCTCCACAAACACAGGCCTGTAGTGCCTCTGATGATGCAAATGCATGGAGAGGTTGAGGTTCCTGACAGTAAATACTAAATTATCCTTACCATTCTTTTTAAGGATACTTGAGAGACTCAAGGATCAAATACACACCTAGGGATCTAGAGCCAACTCACTGACAAATTGATCAAAATGCTTCGATTAGGCGGAGGATGTTCAGTGAACCGCCTTGTTATGGAGCTCTTGACATTTTGTTCACACTAAAACTGGCAACCTATCCTCATAGTCAGATTAATTTCTTCTTTTCTTTTCGGCATACAGAACTGATTTTCAGTTTCATAAGCTACCTATGTTTATCTGGGACTTGTTCATTGTAATCTTACAAGTTCATAAACAATCTGACCGTATATACATGCTGTTGTATCTCCCAATGTAATACTCGGATGATTCTATTGGTGTTTCCACTACAGAAGTAAAAAGTTGTATGGCCAAAGGCGTTCTATTGTCTGAAGAAACAGTACATATATAGTGCAGCACTTTTGGCTATCGTTTTCCTTTTCCTTTTTCTTTTCCCGAGAGATGTGCAGCGATTTCTGTTCATTCCAATGTTGATGAGTCCCCAGTTGAGGGTGCTCAGTGTTCACATCCTGGTTTATAATTGAATCCGAATTTACCCAAAGATAGCTATACTAAAAGATGATTTTGCTTGAACCAGTACTCTAAACCAAATCTAAGCCATTTATATGTGCTTTAAGATTTGTGCTAATGCAAACTTCCAAAAATTCAAACGAAGCCAACCCATTTTCATATAAATTGCACAAATCTTAGCGAGTTCATGTACTGAACTAGTGATGGATCCATCCAATTCTTTTATTGCAAATTCTCGGGCCATTTTGGTTTGAAGCCAAAATGTGCCCTACCAAATTGTTTGGTACTTTGAATAGTATTTTGTTAGTGTTTGGTTTGCTGCCAAAATATACCAATAGCAAAAAAAAAACCAAAATTTTAGCACTACCAAAACTTGCCTAGATTTGGTAGTACCAACATTTTGGCATGGTAGCAAACCAAACGCTCTACTCATGTCCCAAAGGCCCTATATCCTTTTCAGTTCATTTATTGAATTATTGAAACATATTATTTGCTCTGTGCCTTGAAATTTCTTCTATTGCGTTACTTTTAATCACTAGTTTTAAGCTACATATTAAACTTATTTTTTGAATACTTAATTTCATTTAAACTATCTCTATAGAATCAAACGGATAATCCGATCAATAGTCTGAATAAAAGCCTATAAAAAACCTCCTCCAAATGGACCTGTGGTGCACAGCAGGCGACCGTCGTCGGATCAGGTGGTCCGGCGCAGCGGCACCGTTCCACAACGTTCCAGAACCATCTAGTCCGACCCCCGACCAGACCCGACCCGATCCGACCCCAACCCTGTCGCAGCCGCACCACCCGGTAACCTACCCCTCCGGAACACCGAACACCCTTACCCACCCAAACAACTTTTTTATTTTTTAGCCTTCTTAATTTTAATTTTAAAAATATTTTTTTCCAAAACTTAATTTTAAGATATAAATCAAACCGACGTGATAAAATAATACTAGCACATCGGTATCACTAACATGATAGTATGTTTTTTTTGTCAGGTCAGGCGGGGCTGACGTGGTCAAAATATTCAGATTTTGGAAGGTTTTGTTTTTAAAACTAAATATTAAAATGTTTTTAAAAATTGATCGCAAACCCCGTGGATTCCAAGGAGGAGCAGGATAAGCCGCCGCGGCCGCGGGGCAGCGGAAGCGCGCGGATTGGGGATAAAGCGGGGTTGGGGATTGGGATTAGGCTTAGCTCCTCTTTCGCTTTAGCCGCAGCTGCTTCGCTCTGCTTTCTCCGTAGGGTTTATCCCTTTGCTTCTCCTCGTCTCCCTCCCCCTCGCACGCAAAGGCACAAAGCCCGGATTCCACCGCCGGAGCCGACCCGCTTCGAGGCGAATCGAGAGGTACGGGTGCTGGGATACGTCGCCGATGTTTTCCGGCCGTTTTGGGGGGGGGGGGGGGGGGGATTTCGGGGGTGTGTGGTGTTTTTCGGGCGGGTGGGTGTTTGTACGATTTGATTTCGTTTTTGGGTTGTTTTTGGTGTTGAATTCGTGGATTTGGTTGGAGGATTCGGGCTGAATAGTGGGTTGGTTTGGGTGGGTTTCCCTAAATTTGGTCGAATCGAGTATTCGAGTGAGGAGTATTGTTGGCGTCTGATTTGGGGAGGTGTTGACTTGTGCATCCCCCTCCAAAAAAATGGATAAATTTACAGTCGTCTTCGTTCAGATTTGGGGACTCTGTTCTCATATAGATTAATGGGTAGTATGGCAGATTTTGCCACAAATTTTGAGTTAGTTGATAAGTCCTTGCCGTTGCGCAGTTAGCTTTCCAGCCAGCAATCGAGGATGTCGTCGGTGCAGCTCTCCGGTGCCGGAGTCGCCGCGGTGGCCTTCACCAAGAATGGCGCGTCTTCCTTCGACGGGCTCCGCCTCGCGCCGCCATCTGTGCGAGTCTGCTCCTCCAGGCGCCCGTCTCGTAGCCTCGTCGTCAAGGCCGCCACGGTCGTCACCCCAAAGGTATACAGAGGTGTTAAGCTTCCCAATTATCTGTAGATTATGGCGAGCTTGGTTATGGTTAGCATGAGTGAGTTAACGAATTTCGTTGTTCGCATGGCAGTATACCTCGCTCAAGCCTCTGGGAGACAGAGTGCTTGTGAAGCTTGGTGCTGCAGAGGAGAAGACTGTTGGTGGGATTCTGCTTCCGTCAACCGCACAGTCTAAGCCTCAGGGAGGTGAGGTTGTTGCTGTTGGAGAGGGAAGAACTATTGGGGATAAGAAAGTTGAGGTCAGCTTGCAGGTAAAGTTCTTCTCACAATGAGATTGCAAGTGTACCTGTATGATGTCTAGTACTACATTTCTTACCCCATAGCTCGGTTGTGAGTTGCAAGTAGCAGTGACACGGCAATTTACTTGTTGGTTGTTGCCAACTAAATTTAAAAGCATATTGTGTGTGATGCCTTATCAAGAATGCGATGTTAATGGTGTACGGGGTCTGTGAGGCTGAAGTTTCTATGGCACAAAACTCATGTGAAACCAACAGAGGTTTCTCATGATTGCTTTATGACTGTTGTTCAGAGTATGCAACACTGATATATTTTGATTGTTAGTTTCTGGTTTGGTTAAACATATGAATCCACGTAAGGAGTATCCTTTGGCAATGGGCAAATATGTATGAGCATTTGCTTAATTTTGTCATCCATACAAATAGATGTTGTTAGTCTTTCATAGCACTAGGAGAGTAGGAGGTGGTGCATATGACCCGGGTTTGAGAAACAACAGAAAACCGGGAAAAAAGAATCGCTCAACCCTTTTTTTTTAAAGGACTGGTTCACTCCCTCATGTTGGTATTACTAGCAACTTCCATGGAGAACATTTATTTAGTTAGTGCCTGGTTTACAAGTCCAAACCCATGATGTTTTGGCATCTCCATCCCTCAACTAGATTCACTAATGTACATATGAATTTGGACACATATATGAAGCACATACATGAATCTATTCAAAACTCAAAACGTCTTATAATGTGAAACAAAGAAAGTAACTAGGTAAAGCGGCTTCTGAGGTAATGCTGTGTGACTTGTTTGTTTATAGTTATCTTGTTGAACAGGGTACAATTTGTTCTGACTGATGGGCGAAAAAGGCTTTCAATCTCTGTTTTTTTTTCTTAGATGCACCTTGCAACTTTATCTTGGTTCCTGCATGACAATAATTGTTTGGGTTCATCATCTTGTCTACTGGAAATGTCTCTAAGATAAGGTTTAGATTGGTGAAAAATTTACTGATAGTGATGCTTGTTACAGGACCTTAGATTGGTGAAAAATTTACTGATAGTGACTCTTGTTACAGGACCTTGGTTATTTTCATTTGTTGTGTAACTAGTTTTCACTTAACTTGAATTTCTGCAAGGAGATACTACATTAGTAAACTTAATTTAGACAATCATAGCGATTGGCACTACAGAGAGCCTACTGTTGAATTTCAGTGCAGCAATTGTGCTATATATTACCTGATGAACTTGGTGCAATAAGATGTTAAAGTGCCAATCTGCCAATTTGTTCTGTTGCTTTTATGTTGTGGTTTACTGCTTATGCCTTCTAATGGCAGTATTAAGTGATTTATATTGTTCTGTAGATTGGGGCTGAAGTTGTATATTCAAAATATGCTGGGACTGAGGTGCAATTTAACGACACCAAACATCTTATTCTAAAAGAGGATGATATCATTGGTGTTCTTGAGACTGATGATGTCAAAGATATGAAGCCCCTTAATGACCGGGTTCTCATCAAGGTATCCATATGTTATTGTTATTGCTTCTTAAGATAGTTGCCAGTAGGGTTATGGTTTATAGGTAATGAAATTGGAGAATGTTGAATAAATTGTACATCTTGCCGTTGTACTTCCTAGACAACCTTTGGTAATGATTCCCTGCTTTTGTAAATTTGACAGGTTGCTGAGGCTGAAGACAAAACTGCTGGTGGCCTTATTCTCACTGAAACCACTAAGGAGAAGCCATCAATCGGAACAGTAAGTTCTTACCATTGTCTCTTTAAGCCTTGTTATTGTTATTCTATTGCTGTGAACCTAGATTGTTGGGCTATATGCAAAGATTTGTGCATGTACTGAGCCAAGCGAGAAAATGGACATTTAGCCACTTTCAAGAAGTGGTTTCGCTGAAATGCCATTCCGAAAACGCGTTTCGCTAAAATGCCAATATGTAGCGTGCACTCACCGCCACTTGCCATTTTGGCCATTTTGTGCATTTTCAATTGCATTTTCGCTGGAATGTGGCTTGATGGGACCAAATTGCCCTTGCTCGCCGGTTGAAAGGGGATCGATCCAGTTCATGGGAGGAAAGAGGACGAGTGCGGCGAGGTAGTCTGCGTGGCCAAAATGGAGGAGGCGGTGAGCGAACGCATGGCGGCGGCGGTGATGACGGCGACACGGGCATGGCGACGCCGCAGCGAAGGGAGACGCACGGCCTCCACGCCGTCGCGGACGACGCCCTGTCCGCTGACGAAGAAGCTGACGACAGACGGCCATGACCATCTCCAGGATGCCGAACCCCCACCCTCACCAGCGCGCCGATGTCGATGGCCAGGATGCTTGACGAGGTGGAGGTGAGGTCGTCGAGGTGGAGGACCCGACGACGCTTGTAGACGAAGCGGCGGCGGCGGCGGCGGCGTCCTCGAGGTCGAGCGAGTGGAGGACCTGGCAGCGCTTGTAGACGAAGCGGCGGCAGCAGCGTCCTCGAGGTCGGGCGGGTGGAGGACCCGGCGGCGCTTGTAGACGAAGCCGTTGCAGTTGCAGATCTCCCAGTCCTCGTTGCCGTCGCCGCCGGCGGTGGAGGCGTACTAAAATCCATGCGCTCTCTCTCCTCTCTACTCTCTCTTTTTCGCTGAGATTGATTTCGCTTGCTGTGGCGGCTGGGCTCTGATCCGTCGATCCGTGCGCTCGCCGGAGGAGGAGGAGGATTTGGGGTGTGTGTGTGTGCACGGCGGTGGCGCGCGGCGGGATGATGCTGGCGGGGCACAAGTTCAGGAAGGGGAAGAAGGCGGTGGAGGAGGAGGTGAACGGGTTCTTCATGGAGGAGGAGGAGGAGGTAGCGGTGTCGGACGCGTCGTCGATCGGGATGGCATCGTCGGACAGCTCGACGGGAGAAATCGTCGTCGGAGAAGGAGGGGCATTCTCGTCTCTTCAAGCCGCTTCCCAGAGAAAATGATATCCAAAATGGTGAAAATGGCAAAGTAGCTGTGATGGCGCACTCCATATTAGCATTTTAGCGAAACACGTTTTCGGGATGGTATTCCAGTGAAACCATGTTTTCAAAGTGGCAAAATGTCCATTTTCTCCAGCCAAGCTGAACTGAATTTGCATGAGTTTTACCTGTTTATTACCTTCTGAATGCAGGTTGTAGCCGTTGGTCCAGGCCCTCTTGATGATGAAGGCAAGAGGCAGCCATTGTCAGTTTCAGCGGGCAGCACTGTGATGTACTCCAAGTACGCAGGCAGTGAGTTCAAGGGAGCTGATGGCACCAACTACATTGTCTTGAGAGTATCAGATGTGATGGCTGTCCTATCTTGAGCTGTGATTTGTTTCAATTTTGAGTTCAGAATAGACGGTAGCAGGTGGTAATGGTTGCCATGTGGTGATCTTCACTCTGCGGAGATGCTGTCTTTGATAATCCTAGAATTCGAACGCAACAATTTGCAGATCTCCTACGGGATCAACATTCCACTGTGACTGATTTTTATTTATAAAAGTTTGTTTTGTTTCAAGGCCTTCCTTCATTGCCTCTTTAGCCCAATTTTGTCTTTCCACTCATCAGTGTTTTCATCGGCTGGTTTGGCAAAACGGTGATTGCTATTTTTATCGCTTCCTCTGTGTGCAAATATACGGGCATTTGAAAATTTTAAAATTTGTTTATAATTTAAATTTTAGACTACTTTGTTCCATTAGTCTCAATATTTTTCCATCTTATTTCCCACCATCTTTCCATTCCATTTTTCTTATTTAAGATTAAATTTGCAGAAATACTACAGGGCTGTATTCGGTTTAAATGGAACAGCTGTATGTTACGATGATATCACTATAGTACTTAGGTATCAAGGTATCAGATTTGATACCTACGAGATATTATATATAAATCTGATATCTACGGGGTATGTTTGGTATCAAATCTGATACCTACGAGATATTATATATAAATCTGATATCTACGGGGTATGTTTGGTATCTATCTGGTACCTATTCTTATATTTAGGGCAAGTACTATGGACATCCAAGTATAAGCTCTAAGATGCCGCATAGGACTAAATAGTGAGGTGGAGAAGAGAAGAAGGATGAGAGAGAAATAATCACCTCTCATGCAAGAGGCAGTCCCTACACAAACTTCAATAAACATGTGAGAGTGTTAGAGATACTGGGGATTGTGTGGTAGATGTAACCTATTATACATATCATCTCTTAATTTAATTATCTATGTCATGCATGAAATTGGATGTGGTAGTCACCTCTACTATAAAACTTGCCCTAAGAGGTGTAAATTTAATGGTTAAGCTGCTACTCTTATATTTAAGAGAAGTGTAAATAAAATATATAGAACTATAACTCTGATGGAACCCAAACATTTTTGACACACTGCGTCCACATGTCAACAGCTTGGTTGAGATGAAACGGTGAGCTACATTTCTTAGCTACGAGCCTATGACGAAACGATGAGCCATGCCAGCAAGCCATGTTATCACCAACACTCGAAGGTAATGTTCGGGAGCATAACGCCTCCCCCATCTTTAAAATCCAGTATACTCGACTCGTTTCAAAAGCGGTTTCGTCCTACGTGGTACTCATAGGATCCACATATCAGTGAAAAAAAAAAATTAACAGCCCCACATTCCAATCATCTCCTAATATCTTTTTCCTTTTTTTTTCCCTCTCTCTTTCTTGTTCTCTCTCCAGGTTGCGGTAGCGGCTAACATAGTTAGGGAGGCGACAATAAAAGTAGCGGTGCACGAGGCGATGGGGCATCAGAGGAAGAGAGAGAGAGAGAGAGAGAGAGAGAGAGAGAGAGAGAGAGAGAGAGAGAGAGAGGAGGACGCGATGTAGAGCCGCCGGCGGGTTTTGAGGAGAAGGATGTGGAGCCGCGCGAGGTAGGGAAGGGATCGATG